ACATAGCTTTATCTCGCCTCATTTGCTCTAATTCTTTCGACCAACCTTCTCTTTCTGCTTCAAACTCAACTCTTAGGATTTCAATCTCTGATGGAACCACCTTAATGCGATATTCCATAGAGATATCCTTATTTTGGTCTGGTAGAGGAATATTTTCATTTTTTCTGATAGATCTCCATTCCTCATAATCAGGAGTTAACATTTCTTTTGCTGCTTTAGCTCGGATACAAATAGTTGTTTTCCAAGCTGTAAAGGCCTCCATGATATTTCTTTTATAATTTTTGCTGTGGAATGCAAACTCAGACGAATGTAATCCAGCAGTGACAGGAACAAATTGACGACCTTCATACTGCATTATGACCAGAAGTGGTGCATATCCGATTCCTCCCCACAATCCGAGCAACATCACCCAGTTGTAATCACCACATTTGTAAAAGAATTCCCTTTGGATTTACCACGGGGTTCGCCAAACAATGTCATCGCTTTGCAGATTTCGAAAGGCATTAATCCACATATCTTTCGTAATTTCTTTCGGCCATTCTTGCTCTAAAAATTCTTTCAATGGTGAGTAGTCCGTATTAAAGCGCCGGTATGAAACCTTTTATGTCCTCCAAAAATGGCTACGGATCCAGACATATAACAATTGGGCACATCCTGAGAATCGTCCACCTCCTAGCTTTCTACAAGCGTTTAACGATCTGAAAGTCTCTGCTAGAATTGCAGAAGAATGATTAACCCTTTTTGGTAGCTGCTCAAACAAATCTACTACTGCAGCTTCAATATATCCCAATACTTTTGGGAAGATGACCATACCATACATACCCAGAGCAAAGAGATCGAATCGTACTTTATCATCTGGATGACTCTGAATAAGTTCTTTAATGTTGGTCCAAGCAATGCCTTCACTTTCGCCCTTTTGTTTTGTACGGGATACCACCCATTTCTCTCATACTCCGGCAAGCTTTACTAATTTAACTCGAAAAGGTTGAGTTTTAATTTACCTTGAATAAATTCGATTCTCCAAAGCCCCTTCTATATGTAGCAAAGTTGTGTACTCTTCAATAGTAGGAACCAAGTCCTCCTTATTGAGAGTGAAGCAATTGTACCTTGGATTCCAGAATTGAATTAGGGCTCGAAGTAAGTCATCATCAACTTCGACATAGAGCAAATGTGGGATGTCCCCGTAAGTCTGATAAAACTGTAACTTTTTGTTTGAGTCCCAACTTTCCCAAATGCCTCGCAAATCTTGCATATAATTTCTTTTTAGCGAAACTGGAGCATAACTGACTAACTCATATACATAGTCATCTTGCAGACTGTCTCCCCCTTGTCTTTGTAAGTCCTCAGCCCACTGTCTTACTTATGAGTTTGGAACTATTTGATTTGAACACTTTTTATCCATAGATGAAGGTTTTCCAATGAGACGATTAACACGAGGATCAATGCCTTTTATCCTGTATGATGCTATGCAAACAGAAGAAATAAAGAACACACAAAAAGAAATGAATTAGTTCACATAATAAAGGAAAAAATTAATTTAATAATAATGTTTACCTAAATATCTTTATTTAAACATGCTTTCTTCATACTTTAAATAATTTAAATTCACATGCAATTTATTCAGTAAGAAAATAAATAAATAAATAAATAAAAAGGAAAAATTAGAATTCATTTCTCCTGTGTACACCTATTTTGGACAAACTTTCGACATGGCTTCAGATCGGAAGAGTTTCTAGGGTTTATTATATGCAGGGTTTCAGATCTAAGAATAAAAGGTACCCGAATTATCCTTGTTAGTGCCCCTTGGGCTGTTAACCCTCAATCCTAGTCCATCACAGACTAAAGTGGATCGAGTTCAATTCGAGGGGATACACTTCTCTATGCCTGACACGGAGAATAAATTCCCACGAAGACATAGAGCATATAAACCCCGAAAGCTACTTGCTAGGTCTGACACGGAGAATAAATTCTCACGAAGACGTCACTTTTACTCCCACTTAAAAGGGACAAGCTTGATTAAAAAGCTTATGTTATGCAATGCATGTGTTTGTGTGTGAGGAGAAATGTTCAAACCTCTGACAGACAATAAATAATAAAATTTAATACTTGAAAAATAAAATAAAACATTAATAAAACAATATAAATATTATGAAAATAATAAATATATATAATTTTTTTTAAAATAAAAAAATTAAAAATTAAATATATGAATTTTTAATTTCTAATTAATAGAGACAATTTATAATTGATTTTAAAAGCTTGACCAGTCCCCAGTGGAGTCGCCAAGCTGTCGTAACCGGTTTTCGCTCGGGCACGAAATTTTTAACTTGGCGGGAAAAATAACACGAATAAATAAATGATTTTGTTTTAAAAAATATTTTAGGAGTCACCATTGACCTTTTGGGTCAGGAAGGTCAAATACCTAAAAACAATCTTTTAAAATAGTTTTGAATAAAACATAATTTAAAAGATAAAACTGATCTGCATATAACACAAAATTTTTAATAAAAAAGGATTCGTGGTCGATTACGTCACCCCTTTAACGCCCAAAATTTGGTACTCATTAATTATAATTTGTCTCTATTATTATAAATTTAAATATTCAAAAATATATTTAATCTATAATTATGTCATTTCAAATTTACTGGTATAATTATAAGAAAATTTATTAATTTTTATATAAATAAGATATTTATTTATTTATAAATATCAGAAAATAACTTCTAGGTGCTTTAAGACAACTCTTTTCTTCGATATTAAAAAATAAATAAATATAAATAAAATATTTCTTAAAAATAATATATATTTTATAGGGTAAAAATATCAGAAAACGGACTTCTAGGTGCTTTAAGACAGTCCTTTTCTTTAATATTATTAAAATAGGATTATTATTATTATTTTATATAAAAAATAATTCATATACAGATTTTAATAAAAAGAAAAATAAAATAAATAATTATTTATTATATATATATTTGTAATAATAATACTAATAATAATAATAATAATATATTACAAATAAACATATAAAATTAAATCAACAACTAAAATGAATGAAATTAAAACTATATAAAAATGATTAATAATTTAAAACTAATGACTAAATTAGAATATATTAAAAATAAATATCTAATTCGTAATTAATTATATAAAATTTCAGTGGCTAAACATGCTATTCTACCCCTTTATTAATTTAGTGATTAGATTAAAATTATATCAAATTCGTATATCAAATTAAAAGAAATTAAAACATATTATTCGGGGTTTAAAATATTAATTAATAAAATTATGAGGGCTAAATCAGTTATTTTACCTAAAATATATATAAGTAAATCAGTGACTAAATTATAATGGATAAAAATTAATAGATTGAATTATAATATATATAACAATATACTATAATGATCAAATTGCAAGTTTTTAAAGTTACAGTGTCTGCGGGAATAGTTTATCCATGCGCGAAATTACACAAAGGCCCTCACCAAAACTACGTCGTTTTGATGAGGGTATTTATACCCCATTATAACCGGCCCTCCGGGCCAATTCCTCATTTCTCTCTTTTCTCTTCTCTCTCTAAACTGAGAGAGTTTAAACTCTCTCTCGCTTCTCTCTAAATTCTCCTCGCCTGAGGGGAAACTATCATCGATCGACCGCCACACTCCGCCGTCGACACCGTCGTCGGCCACTGTCACCGGTGATCGAAAAATATAAATTTATACCAGAATTTAGCCCTTAAAACCCTAATACCAGATATGGCTTTAGTTTCTCCTAGAAGACCTTTAATCGGAGTAGATCTGAAAATATACCTTCGGGGTTTGGTTATTTTAGGAGACGGTTACTTTTCTCCGCAGTAAGACTCTCGACTTCTTCTCCTTTTTTCTTCAATTTGGTGTTATCTGGGATCGTTGGTGTAGATACTTTGCTATCTCTCTTTTTTTTGCTATCTTTTTTCTTCTTATTTTTTTGCTTGCAGAGAATCGGTGGCTTTTATAGCCACCACCGGTGATGGCTTCGGACCGGTTATGATGGTGGGTTTTGGTGAGTTACCGGAGTTGTGGTGACTCACCGAGGAATGGCGACGCGTGTGCGGCTGGAGTGGCTCTTCTGGAAGCTTTCGACGGGCGTGGCAGCGGTGGAGCAACGTGGAGATGGTGGGAGTAGCTGCGGCGGCGGCGTGTACCCTAAGGTATCATAACCCTAGGGTTTTGTCTAGAGAGATCTGGATCGTTGGATCAAAATTAGATCCAACGGTTGAGAAGAGGAGCGGCGGCTGGGGATGAGATACAAACCCTAATTGGGTTTTAGGGGTTCAATTAGGCCTGGATCAGGTTGGGCATGTAAATGGGCCTCCGGGACTGAAGTGTAATATAATAATAATAATAATAATATAATTATAAAATAATAATAGTAATAAATAAAATAATAACAATAATAATATAAATAAAAAATAGATAAAAAAAAATTAGTATCTTCAGGTTTATCTGATTTTAATCTATAATTAGGACCTTATATTTTGTATTCAAACCTTAGATTTAAATCTTTCACACTTTAGTATTTTAATTTAGAGAATAATTCAATTTGACCCTCGCATTTAGATGCCCAAGAGTACATTTCGATTATTCGATTCAATAATTGGTAATAATAATATTTAGAACTTTAACATTAGATTCTTCGTAATGCAGTCCTTGAACCTTTTGTAATTAGATACTCTGTTAACATAATTAATTAGGTTAATAATTAGAACCTCAATTTTAGATTCTTCACAACTTAATCCTTAGATCTTTAATTAGATAGTCATTTAACATAATTGATTAGGTTAATAAATAGAGCCTCCACTTTAGGTTTAATTTCACCTTAGTCCTTTAATTTAGGGAATTCATGCAGGTGGGTCTGCTTCTTAAAAATAGTGCGCCAGGCTTTGGTTCAGAAAGGGGATGAGTGGAGGGATCAAATTTGGGGTTTGCAGGACGAGGTAGATAAAATGGTAATTGAAGCCTACAAATTGGTAGGCTAAAATCTGCTTCTGTCATTGGATCTCTTCCTCTGGACAAAAGCAAAACTTATAATGCATATTGCTTCCCAAGAGGAAAACTCCTCGACATTTACCGCAAGCTAAAGACTGCTACTTATTTTGACATCCTGTCTGACGAGATGGATCATTTATTACCAATAACACAAAAAGAAACTGTGGAGCCTTTGGCTTTTGTTCCTCCTGATGCAGAAGAAGAGGTATGCTGCTTTTAATCTGATTTAGAGAAGTGTAGTCATATTTATCCTTCTATGTGGTTGCATAAAATATGTTTGCTTGATTTTTACAGGCTGTCCTTGGAGATATATGGAAGGGAAAAGCTACAAGCAGTGGAGTGTTGTACAACTCATATAGAGACACAAGTATGGATCCGGATTTTTTCTAGTGTGCTACCAAGTAAATAATTAGATATGATTGAGATTCTCTCTTTTTTTTTGTCCTAATCCAGATGTTGCTGAAGTGATTTCAGGTGAAGGGAAACAAAGTTCCTTGGTTAACAGGGAGGATGCTGAAACATGTGACCGGTTCACAGGTAACTGTGACGAAGGGTAGGAAACTATCATTTTTAGTTGTCGACTATCAGCTGTTCATTGAGAATATATTCATGATTTGTTATGCTTGTCCTTACACAAATGAATAGTTCAAAAGGTGGGCTGAGACGTGTGTCACCATCTGATATAGATGTAACCCAATTCAAATTGTTACAGGAGCAGCAACATCTTCATCTACAGATGCCACATTCTCAATCTCTGCAATTTCTTCTTGATCAATTGCTGCAGCATCAGATGTCTGGTCCTGGTTACAGTCAGCACGTATTCGATGCTGCTAGAGACAACAGACTTGATCAGGTTCAGTTACGAAGGCATATCTTGAGTGAATCACAGCAGAATTCACATGCTTCAAGTCACCTGGATTCATCACTGGAGCAGATCATCCAAGAAAAGATTAACCAGGGTGCACTCCAAGGGCAACAAGATGAATTTTTTGATTTAATGTCACAGGCAAAGTATGGCAATATGCTTCCTTCGGAGCATCAGCTTCGTCTTCAACAAGAACAGTTTCAAGTGCAGCAATTATCAATGGCACTGAGGCAACAATTAGGAATGGAGGGGGATAGGAGGCTTGCTGGTTCATTGTCTGCTGATGAAGTTCGTCAATTTGTTGGGAATCCTAGCAATCCTCATCAGGCTCATTCTGTGGGGTTGAATGCTTCAGATAATTACCAGCAGAGGCTGTCACCTCTTGAAGATCCTTACTTCAATAGACAGAATCATTCTTTGCAGGACCTACCGGAGCGAGGGAATTTCGACCCCAACTCTACAGCATTTGGCAGGTTGAATCTCCCTGCAGTTGCTCCTGGGATGAAAGTAGAAAATGCAAATTCTATGGATCTAGCTGAAAATCTTTATAGGCAATCCAAAAACCAACTTGGTCCTTTCTCTTCAGGTAATCACTCTCTTGGCCAGCATGTTCCATGTAATGCATATGCTTCTCATCCTGGTGCAACGGAGAGCTTCGACTCTAGGAAAAATGTGCGGTTAGAAAATAGTTGGACCATAAAACAGATGCAACATTTAAATCTTGAAACAGAATTGCAAAGAAGGAAGTCTGAGGTTGATTCAAGCACTTGGGCATCAGCTGGAGGGGTTCATGAAAACTCTAAGAAAGCTTTAATGGACCTTCTTCAACAAAAACTTGGTATTCAATCTATGTAATCATCAGAAGTAGATTGTCAACATTCTACTTCATCTTCTAAGGGGAGGGAAACCTTTTGCCCTGTTTCCGAGCAGCAAACTTTCAGTTTTCCTTTTAATCATTTTCCAAATCAGGAAGTTCACGTGAATTACTTATTTCCGGAAGGCCTTCAAAATTCTGATTCAAGTGCCTTGTTGCAAGATCATTTGCATGGAGTTGCTGTGAGTGGTTATGTCAACCAAATGGTTAATTGTGAAAGATTTCCTCTTAAAGCTGGTGTCGTAACCGGTTTTCGCTAGGGTACGAAATTTCATTGGCGGAAAAAGTAATGTGAATAAATAAATGGTATTTTAAGGAAATGTTTGGAGTCGTCATCGGTCTTTTGGGTTAGGTAGGTCGAATACCTAAAAATCATCTTTTAAAATAGTTTTTAATAAAATACCATTTTAAAAGAGTAATTGGTTTGCATTTAACCAAAAATTCATTCTTTTTAGTAATAAAAAGAGATTCGTGTCGGTTACGTTTGGGGAATGATTAGTTCCCTCATAACGCCCAAAATTGGTACCCATTGTTATAAATTGTCTCTATTAGTGAAATTTAAGAATTCAAATATAAATTTAATTTATGATTCTATTATTCCAGATTCAATTAGATAATTCTAAGGAAAAAAATAATTTTTTATAAAACTAAAGTAAATATTTATATTTTTAGGGTTTTATAAACAGGGTATTTATTTATTTAAAAATATCAAAAAATGACATCTAGTTACTTTAAGACAACACATTTCTTTGATATTAAAAAACAAATAAACATTAATAAGAATATGATAAAATAATTTAAATAAAAATGAAGTATATATATATATATTTATAAACAAGATATTTGTTTATTTTTAAAATACCAGAATAGGACATCTAGTTATTTTAAGACCGCCCTTTCTGAGTATTTAAAAATAAATATTATCAAATTATGAAATTATTATATTGTATTTCATATAAATATTAGTGAATAAAACATAAATAATAATAAATAAATAAATAAATAATTAAAGTACTAATTTAAAATAAATGACAATAATAAAAAAATAGAATAAAATTGCATTAATTAATGACTAAAATAAAAGAAATTAAAAATGTGGAATTAAATTGTAAAATATATAAAATTCATGGTAAAAAATGAAAGTAATTAAAATATTACTGATTAAAATATAAAATATCGAAGTTAAAGGCCCTAATTCGAAATATTATGAAAATATAATAATTAACTTTGTAATTTTACCATAATAATAATACGAGACTAAAATATAAATTATTAAAATTATAGAGGACTAAAATGAGTATTTATCCTAAATATTATATAAATAAGATTAATGACTAAATTATAAATAAATAAAATTTGGAGACCAAATTAAATTATTCAGAAATATAATTTAGTGACCAAATTAAAATAACTCCAAAATATAGGGACGACGAAACAATTTTACTTACCCTAAAATTACACAGATACCCCTCCTCAAAATGGCATAGTTTGGAGATAGGTATTTAAAACCCAGAAAACCGGCCCTAAGGACCACTCTTTCTCATTTTTCCTTTCTTCTCTCTCTCTAAAACGAGAAATTCTCCCCCTTCTCTCTAACTTCCCTGACCGGAGGGAATTCCGGCAGCCTCCGGCCACCGTGCTCTGGTGCCGGTCACCACCGCCGGCCACCGTTCACGGTGGCTGAAAATTGAGAAAATACATAAATCGAAGCCCCTAATCACCCTAAAGCCTATTGATAAATTCCTAAAAAATCTACTTTTAAGGCCATTTTCACTTAAGTTATTGTTTGTTTAAAAGCTCATTTTAGGCATTTTAGGATTATGTAGTTGCATATAGTTGCATTTGTGGTGGTAGTGTTATTTTATTTCTTAATGGTGCTACTTGAGGGAAATGTGCAGTTTGTTTGTGGTGTGCAGGGAATAGAAAGAAAAAGGATTCTTTGGGAAGCAATGCCGCGGCATCACACGTTGCTAAAGCAGAATGAAATGCCTCGGCATTTCTGGCGCAGAAAAAGACAAAAAAAGATATTTCTGCACAAGGACAGCTGGCACTAGACCAGCTGTCTCTGCACGTGAAGGACTACTGTAACCGCCTGCCAGAGCCGCTAGAGGACCACTGCCACTTGGAGGATAAGGTTAATGCACAACATGTGATTTTAGGGGTATGAGGGGTATTTTACACCCAACATCACCCAATAACCTCATCATTACCCTAGATATTTTTTTATTATATATGACACCTCATGGGAGAGAGAAAAGTAGGACGCACACTGTAGCAAAAATCAGATTTTTATTTTTCCTTTTCCCTTATTCTTCCTTGGGATATTCTTCCATTGATAAAGCTCCAAGGAGTGGCGAGCTAGGAGCCAAAAGGAGCTAGCAAGCTAGGTGGTTCACGGTGGCCGAGAGGAGACCTCCGGTGGCGCGTCGAAAGCTTCTTCTCAACTTCCTTTTTTGCTGTTATTTTATATTTATTTGTGGGTTGTTGGAACAAATATTTTCATGACTTTGTGTTTGGATATTTTGAACCCCACCATGAACTAACTTATTTGGTGGTGGTTGATTTAATGGTTGTTTGAACTTTATTTTTAATGGTATATTTAAGTTTATTTTGGTTCTTTATTTGCTTTGCTTATGAATGCTTCACCATCTAGGCTTGTAAGAGGCATGGAAATGTCCATTTCTTAGATGAAGGTTAGGTATTCGAAAGAATCCTAGACTAAAAATACTTGTAAGTATTCGGAAGAAACGCAAGATAAGATCCTCATAAGCAATGGGTTATAGTATTTTCAAGGGGCTTTGAACTGACCTAGAAATATTATAACTTAATCCCTTAGATCTCGGAAGAGACTAGGATAGGATTTCAACGACTAAAAAGGGTGTCTTTATCAATAGGGTAGGTTGGCCAACATCGTTGAGTGAGAGCAGATGCCTTGGCATCCTATTCTGTTAGGTTCTTTTGAACACTTTAGGAAAGCTCTGCCAAGTAAGTAAAGACTAGGTAGCTTATATATACTTGAGAAATAAGTTTAGCATCCTTAGATCAATCCCTACCACTCATTCCATTGGAAGCTTGTCACGTGAGGATTATTTTCTTTACATTCTATTTTCTTTTTCTTTACTGTTTTTACCATTTTTCATTGCCTTGACATTTAACCATACTCAACATTAAACATCCATAATTGCCATTGCATTTCCATTTGCTACACTATCAGACCATCACTCCATATCCACCAGCATACACATTTACATTGCCGTGACATTTGTATATATCAAGACTAACTATACTTAGATAGAATAGTGCATTGCTTTGGTTAGACTTTTGTAATTTCACCCAATCCCTATGGAGACGATACTCACTCATCATTATATTACTTGAGCGATTGTGTATACTTGCACATTATTTGCGTATAATTTATAGTACTCACAACACGCGAACAAGTTTTTGGCGCCGTTGCCGGGGATTGGCAGCCTGAAGTTATTTAGTTTTGCCAGAGCATATTATTTTGTTTTGCATTTTTATTTGTGTATAGTTTACTTGATATTTTTGTTTTATTTTCAGGTTTATCTAGTGTAGAACCTGAGATTGAAAGACTCTTTAGAAGAAGAAGACGTACTCAAAGAAATATGTATCAGATTGGAAACCAAGGCATTGGTCAGGATGACGGAAATCATAATGTCGCGGCATTAGACAATGTTGCTCCTGTTGTTAGGCCGCGCGTTATTTGCGATCACTTAAATCCGATACTGGATGATCTGAATCCTGGGATTGTGGCACCTGAAATTCAAGCTGCACATTTCGAGCTGAAACCAGTCATGTTGAACATGTTGAATTTTATTGGGCAGTTTGGGGGTATGCCAACTTAAGATGCCAGGCAGCGCATTCGCAATTTTCTGGAAGTTTGTGATTCTTTTCGCCAAGAAGGAGTGCATGAGGATTTTCTGAAATTAAAGTTTTTTCCGTATTCATTGCGTGACCGAGCAAGGGCTTGGTTGAGTGGTGTACCAACCGTTTCTATGGAATCATGGGACGATCTTTGCTAGGGTTTCTTATTGAGGTACAACCCACGAAACATGAATACGCAGCTAAGGAATGAAATATCATCTTTTCTCCAGGGCGATGACAAATCCATGTATGAGTGTTGGGATCGTTACAAGAGTTTGCTTCGAAAGTGTTCAAATCATGGTTTTCATGATTGGACTCAAGTAGTCATGTTCTATAATGGAGTCAATGCACCCACGAGGATGTTACTGGATGCCTCGACAAATGGGACATTGCTGGATAAATCACCTATTGAGGCGTTTGCTATCTTGGACAAAATTGCTAATAATGATTATCAGTTTCCTCCTCAAGGCTTGGGAGTGGAAGGAGAACACCTGGAGCATTTGAGTTAGACACCAAGGATTCGGTGTCCGCTCAACTCTCAGCCATCACTAATATGTTGAAGAACTTACAACGTTCCACTGATGTGAAGGAAGTGAAAGCAACTAGCTTGGCATGTCTGTTATGCCAAGGCAATCATCACGAGAGAGAATGCCCAACCAACCATGAGTCCATCAACTTTGTAGGTAATTACAATCGAGGCAACAAAAATCCTTATGCTAACACTTATAATGCTAGATGGCGTCAGTATCCCAATTTTTCATGGGGAAATCAAGGAGCCCACAATGTTAATCAACCTACTCGGCAGCAGAATCACAATGAGCCTCAAGGTTACCAAAATGCTATGCCATGGCATAATGCCAACAAAGGAGCTTCATCTTCAGCAATCATGAGTTCATTGGAAGCTACAATTCAAGAGTTCATATCCACTACGAAGACAATGCTGCAAGACCATTATACTTCAATTAAGAATCAATGAGCTTTACTTCAAAGTCAAGGCGCCTTACTTCAAAGCCATAGCTCGTCTCTGAGAGATTTTGAAGGTCAAGTTGGTCAGATTGCTACGGTATTGCCAGAGCGTCAGCAAGGACGTTTTCCAAGTGATACTGAAGTCATTAGAGCACCTGGAAAAGAGCACTGTAATGTGTTAACTCTTAGGAGTGGAACACAAATCAATTAATAAGTCAAGGATAGTGGGCCACAACATGATGATTCTAATCCCACTACTGAAGTTGAATTACATGATGATAGAGTTACTGAGAAGGACAAGGAGGAGGATTCTGCTAAGATACCAGATTCTTATGCCAAGGCAAAAGCAAATTCTATTCCTGCAGCTAAGGAAGCTAGACCTC